TGACACCGTTCCCCGGTTTCCGTCTCGAATTAGACTTTGCGGAGTAAAATCCACACTATATTCCACCAGGAAATTGATTCTTACACTTGTTCATTTCTAGTCTTAAATGAAATAAAAAGTCTTCAATCATATTCGTTTCGAAATCATGCAAGGAGATATACAGAGGGAATCAAAAAAAAGAAAACGTCCGTCTACCGGTCATCAGCCCACGGCAAGCTAAAGGTACCAACCCAGTCCTCGACCTCTTGACGAAGAACAACAATCTCCGAGATCTCCTCACCCCCACCCACGTACTCCAAGAAGGCCTTAACAGTATTAGGGTTCTTGACACCGCGGGACTGAGCTGACTCACGGGCAGCCTTGTCCAACTTCTGGGTGATGGTTACCGCGCGATCGACGATATCGGCGACGCGGGTGAAGTCCTCGGGTTGGAAGCCACGGGAGGTCATGGCTGGGGTTCCCAGACGCAGACCGCCGGGCTTGAGGGCGGACTTGTCACCGGGCACTGTGTTCTTATTACTGGCGACACCGCACAACTCGAGAACGCGCTCGACGCGAGCACCGTCCACACCGCGGTTCTTCAGGTCCAGCAGCACCAAGTGGTTATCGGTGCCACCGGACACAATGTTGTAGCCGAGTCCACCGTTGCTGGTAGAATCACCTAGGCGATCGGCTAGAGCAGAGGCATTAAGAAGCACTGTCTGTTGGTAGGCCTTGAAGTCGGGCGTCTGAGCCTGCTTGAGGGCCACGGCCAACGCGGTGATAGTGTGATTGTGAGGGCCACCCTGGTGGCCCGGGAAGACGGATGCGTTGATGGGGTTCTCGAGATCGTACATGATGGGGTTGCCCTTCTTGTCGGTGCTGCGCACGCCTTTGCGGTAGAATATCATGGCGCCACGCGGGCCACGCAGAGACTTGTGGGTAGTAGTCGTCACGACATCTGAGTAGGGGAAGGGAGATGGGAGCACGTCGGCAGCCACAAGACCCGAGATATGGGCCATATCGGATAGCAAGTAGGCGCCCACGGAGTCGGCGATCGCGCGCATGCGTGAGTAGTCAATCAAACGGCTGTAGGCTGAAGTACCCGCAATAATCAGCTTGGGCCGGTATAGGGTGGCCGACTTCTCCAATGCATCGTAGTCGATCAGGCCAGTCGACTCATCGAGGCGGTAGGGGAAGGTCTCGAAGTATTTGGAGATAGCAGAGATCTTCTTGGTAGGAGTCTGATAACCGTGGGACAGGTGGCCACCGTGGGGAAGGTCTAAGCCCATGAGACGGTCGTGGGTGTTGAGGAGGGCGGAGTAGGCCATGAGATTAGCGGGTGAGCCGGACAAAGCTGGAATGAGTTAGTCTTCGCATATTTAATTATATCACGTCAACTGGTTCATACGTTGAACGTTCACTCCCCATTCCTCCGGGTTCAGACGGAAGGTTTCGAGGGCACGCTGCTGGCATAACCGCTCGGAGGCATCAATAAATTCGTTTCCTCCATAGTACCGGGCACCGGGGTATCCCTCGGAATATTTGTCTAAATTGCGGTTAGGATAGTCTGTCGAGCAAGCAGAGGCGGCCACCCGGAGTACGTACTTTGCATAATACTGCCAAGGGCATCGAGAACAGCTTGCGATGTGAAATTCTCCGAGGGGATCAAGTTAATGAAGTGCTTTTGACGGTTTTTCTCCTGTGATAGTTTTAGCACTTGGTCGTTCGATTGGTGAGCTCTATATCCAACGATGACGCACCTGCTGTAGGATGTTATAAACGGTGGGGTCGGACTCCTCTAGGGATGCCGCGAGCAGCTATCAAATAGTCAGTCTGCATGTTCCGCTTGCCATTGAATCGATTCTGGCCACCAACCTTGTGCTGCGAATCGCGAGTGGACGACGCTACTCCCCGCGATTGGGGAGCTAATCTGGGCACGATCGAGGCGCGAGCGGAGACAACGGCTGCCCGGGAGCTCCCAAGGGGAAGCAAGCGAGCAGCGGATCTACCACAGCGAGACAAATACATGATGAAGCTGAAGAAGGTCAATTCTCAAGCAGGTATTATGTACTTAGCCGATAGGAAAGCCACGGCTTTTAAACGACTGATGCTTGTCGGACGAGCACTGGCACCTTTCCGTTGCCCGCGGAAAGCGGGAAAAATGCGCTATCCCCATTCGAGCTCTCCGCCTGGTCCGTGCGTCGGCTGTTGGTTTATCTTCGCCCGGCAAAACTTTTCCCTCCTTTTCTTCTTCACACAACTAAATCCAAGATGAAGAAACGGCGTTTTAATCTGTGTCAGCACTCGTCGGTGACGGCTGGACTTCGGTCTAGCTGGCGCTGGACGGGCGCTGCTGAAAGGTCCCACGCCTCTTAACCATCCTTTGAGGGGCCAGTACTTATCGGATTGGAATTGTTGTGTTGGTTCACCTTCAAGGCAAGGTCGGGATTGGTCTACTGTGCTAAATCCTGTGCTAAATCCACATCTCTGAACCCCTTCGCGACAACATTTTTTTGCTGTCTCATTGTCGACACTCTAGTACAACGAGGACGTACGATCCGTATGCTCCGAGTGACTCTCGAGTACAATTAGTTTAACAGTATATAATCGCTACTATTCTTAACACGATTTAACTAGCCCCTTCCACGTTCCTGACTCGCATTCCCCTCTTGCACTCCACCCTCACGATAGACAATTGGCTAGAACAACTATACTGTCCAGCAAGGGAAGGTGTTGATACTCATGTATGTTCTACCTAGTTAGGTAGTTAACTAACTAGGGCTTCGATATATGTAAGCACGATCTTAGAATTGAAGGAAGTACTTAGATAACTATGTACATATTGAATTAGTTAGACGTAATCTGCTGGAGATTGAAAAATGGTTACTCAAAAGATATCTACAACATACAAAATAGGATACGGAGTACTCCGTACAAGACACCAAATGCCTATTTTGGAGATCTATTTTGAGGTCTTGGCATAGCCACAGAATAAGAATGTCATTTACAATATAGATAACTATATAACTACTCCGTAGTACGTTCAAGTTACTCCGACCCTGGATTATTAAATTACAATCGCCAGTGCTAGCCCATCAGTGCCTAAATGGGAAGGGACGGCCTGGTCCCTGGGGGCGTGCGCTTAAGGTGAGGAGGAACGCTAGGGAGGAAGTGACTTTGGCCGTCGTATTAATTTAGCTGTACAATTAAGTACCTTTCATGTGGCTCCAATCCACTTTCATTGTTTATTTTTCTCTACTCTCTTATTGCCACTCTATCTGCCCCTTTTCCTCAGTGTGTGAGTGGCAGCGGGTACCTGAATCTCATTTAAATTAATCTACAGGATTGGTTATAAACTCTTCTCCCCCTTCTTTCCTCTCTCTTTCTTCCACTGCATTCTCTAAATCCCCGGTTTTCAACCGATTACATTCTTTTGAATCCCTGTCATTCTTTTACATACCTCATCTTTGAACATTTTCGGAACCATTCCAACTCTATCAACTATATCACAATGCGTTTCTCTATTGCCGCTCTCGCTCTCGGTGCTACTGGTGCCATGGCCGGTGTTGTCACCGAGACCCTCACCGAGTACACCACCTACTGCCCTGAAGCTACCTCTATTGTACACGGAAGCCACACCTACAGCATTTCCACCGTATGTTTTCCTGAGCAACAAGTCTTCGCCGCATACTAACAGCATTCCAGCCCGGCTACATCACCATGAGTCACGGTCCCTACACTGTCACCCGTCCTATTTCGACCTCCACCGTGACTGAGTGCAACTCCTGGTAAGGATTTCTCTATATCCAATGTGACCAATTAATCTAATCTAACACATTACTTAGCTCTTCCACCACCGTGGTCTCTACTCCCGTGGCCTCTGCTCCCGTGGCATCTGCTCCCGCGCCCTCTGCTCCCGCGCCCTCTGCTCCCGCGCCCTCTGCTCCCGTGCCCTCTGCTCCCGTGGCCTCTACTCCCTTGGCCTCCAGCCCCGTGGCCAGCAGCAGCACTCCCCTCATCCCCGTCGTCCCCAGCGTCGTCACCTCCACCCCTCTGGTCCCCACCGCCGGCTCCACTGGCGTGCCCAGCGTTCCCTCCAGCCCCTCCAGTGCTCCCTCCAGCCCCTCCAGCGCTGTTACCCCCTCCCAGCCCGCCTTCAACGCCGGTGCCATGAACGCCGCTACCGGTGCTGGTGCCGGTTTGGCTGCCATCCTTGGTGCCGTTGCCCTCCTGCTGTAAAGCAGTTGACTGTCAATGGCATCATGAAGAGATAGCATTGTGACTGGTGTTATCGCTTTGATGAAAACCACACGATGCTGTCGGGTTTTTACGGCTGTGGGTTCTTCTGGTGTATGTCTTGTCTACGTCTTAGATAATACATAATGAGCCCTCTTGGGTTAACTTTTCATGTCTGCCTTTCTTGTGGAGCTTATCTTTTCTTGTTTTTTGCGCATTATTCTCCTGGACATAGCGCGTTTTATTATATTCACAACTTTAACTTCGATCAAGAATGATCTCTTACTTTCTACTTATTTTACTTGCATTGGACCTTGATATTCTACTTGTACTTGTTTTGATGTATTGCTGTCAGTATAAAGATAATCATTCAATGGTCATGATGTGTTGACCCACAGGAGTGTTCATCCAGAGATTAGTGCAATCCGAACCTAGGAGGATGTTAGCAGAACAGACCATATAGTTTGGGTTGCATTAACGGACCGATGCTTGGCTTTCACTTATACAGTGACGAGAATGGAATGTCGAATATCTTGCAGATTGAGTCGCAGTCATCACCCTGGGTTAGGTTGTGTCGATTTAGTAAGTTGCCGCCAGCTCTTGGATTTACGTGAACTGACCTTCCATGGTCATTCCCAATAAGACCAGCAAGCCATGAGCGTGGAGATCTTTATAACCACGGGTATTTCGGTAGAATTCTACATCATGCATACCAATAGGTGATGAGACTGATGTAAAAGCAAAATATATAAATATACACAAGTTATTGACATATATATGACTCAAGCTAAAATTTTGTCAGTGCTATCATTGTCTCTGCGGTACAAATCTGTACGTTCTTCATCCACCTTAAACGATCGGTGGACGGAGATATCTTTCGTGCCAGCTAACGGATCGGGATTTCCATCATGGATGCTGTGTAGCTGGTACGAGTGTTGCCCTCCAGTATTTTTGGGCTGGAACCTATTCATAGGTGTGTCCTCTGTGAGTTTCGCAGTACGGGGCGTGTGCGATGGGGATAGCGAAAGCCGCGGTAGATATATCGATATTAGGCGCTTGAACCGCATTGCACAGGCGCATATGATACCGAGGTTGACCTCGACAAGGGACCACACTCCTAGGATGGCTTCGGTATAAGTTGTGTCAGCGGTTTTGCCGAGGAGTAAGACGTATGGTAGGCGTGCTATGGAGCAAATGACGACACTGGGGTGGGGATTAGCGGCAATCATAGCATCAGAATAAGAATGAGGGAAAGCGTACCTAGATCCCAGAGTCAGCAGACAGCCGACCGTGACTTTTTGTTTCTCTGAAAAATGGAGACGGTGTATCGTTGGGATGGGGATGGCAATCACTGCCAAATCAGAGGCAATGTTCAGAACTGCCTGGGATAAGGCGACGTTTTCTAGACAGGCTGTGGTTCCTGCGTGGAGAGGGTTACATGGTCCTCCGGTGATGATGCATAAGGTCAGAGTGTACGCAAAGATCGCCAGTGCGACAGCCACGACGAGGCAACGATATATCTTCGCAGGATTGATTTGAAATAAGACAGATAGAATGGCCATCTTGGTGATGCATGGACATATCAAATAAGTCAAGGTATTGATGAGTAGACCCTGCATCTTGTTAGCCAATGTGCTAAGGTATGCAAATAATGTCTTTACTTTATTGAACTCCATGAGATCTTCCAAGTTAACATTCCACATGTGCTTTCCCCAGCCATAGTTCATTACTATTTGAGTCAGATTATACCTTAACCCGAAAGATAGTCACGGGAGACTTGCAGTTAACCACAGTCACGAAATAGACCAGTGCAACACCATAAGAAATCGTGATAGTGACTATCAAGTAGTATAAGTGTCTAGCAGAGTGTTGAAGAAGTTGGTCTCTTACTCAAGTCTATCTCGATCTTCTTGGTCAGCTTGAAAGCCTGGAAATAGCGAAGAGCGAGGAAAACCGTGGCAATGAGATAGGTGATGCCAAAGGCGATGACAGTCCCTATTTGCAACGAGTTATAGGGTTCATGGAAATGTGATTCCTGGCCATCTGGGGGCGGTATTCCTGGGGTCGTATCCAGATCCATTGTATCTGATTGTGGAGTTAATTAAATCTATATCAATATAGGTCTTCTACCCCTATATACTATTGTATAAAACCCCGTCCAGTGTTGGCAAATTTCTTGCTACGCGGGCTAGAACATTGTCAACAGTTGATTCAGAACCGTAGCAAACCACTGTAGCCAATAATATCGGAGGTTCGTAAAATCCAAGTGGAGTCTCATTTGCCCTAGCTCATCCTGCGACCAGAGCTAACTGCTGTGGACTATCCTTTCTTAGCCTATAACAAATATACCTTTCTATCTCCTCCACAAATGGTACTTATTTCACGCTAGCAGAAAGTATCATGAGAGGAGACTTGTCAATTCTCAAGTAGAATGAGTGGAGATCGACACTAGTATAGTGCACATTAGATCTAGCCTTCAAAGAAAAACGAAATGGCCCCCGCGCCATGTTTTTGCCTGCAACTTAGAATAGGGGTTGCCAGCTGCATAATGCATGTGATTATTCTTTTGTTCAAGGAAGCATTTTGCAGTAATCTTTCTTTGAGACAGCCTGGTTTCTGTACGTGATAGACCAATCCACACCATGAAAATGCCGTTTTGGCGTCAGCCCACCATGGAGCCAATTCCGGGCGATCGAGTGGTTCCACTCCATTTCTTCGAGGATAGTTTGCTTGTCCAGGGTAATAACATGGCTGTCTCTCTCATGTTTGATGCAGTGCTCGACCCAGAAATATTGCGCGAATCCCTTGAGGGCCTCGTCAAACGAGAGGGGTGGCAAAGGCTAGGAGGAAGACTGAGGAAGAATGTAAGAACGGGCCATCTGCAAAGAGAAAATCTAGGGCTGCATAAACATAAGAAGTGCCCACGGGTGTATACTAGTTAACACTTTTGGCGTTACCAAATAGGCCTCAGGTAAGATCGAATGGCACATTCCAGCCCAGTTCTCGATCGGCAGACCACCAATATCCTTCGCCCATGTCAATCATGGCATACCTGCCGCTTTACACCCGACAGCCTCTCGAATACCGAAGCCGCAAGATCGGCCCTGTGTTGTTAGCGACCCAGATGACCTAGAAGGCCTGGCGTGGGAGCCTGGGTACAAGCCCAACGGGATAAACGACTACCTCACCTCCGACCTTCCTGTCTTAGGGTTGCGCGTCAACTCTTTCACCGATAAGACCGTCGTAGTGCTCCAATGGCAGCATGTTGCCTTCGACGCGCTGGGTATGCAGTATGTCGTCGAAGGATGGAGCTCCATGCTTTGGGGAAAAACTGCCGAAGTATTGATCCCATGTGGTATAAACTCGGATCCATTCCACTCTCTCACCCAGGGGTCGCGCCCTACGACCGAGGAACATGTGTTGACTGACAGGAGGGTCGGGCTAGGAGGCTTGCTGCGGTGGGGTTTAGGTTATGGGGTCGATATGCTTGTCCGAGCCAAGGAGAACCGCATGGTCTGTATTCCAGAGACATATTGGCGGCCGCAATGGGAGAAGGCTGTAGACGAGCTTTGTACTGAGGCGACTGCGAACGGCGAAGACCCATCAAAAGTCTTTTTGACTGAGAATGATGTTCTGACGGCCTGGATTTTACGCTGTGTGGTTGGCGAGATGGGGATGAACCCCGAGAGAACGGTAAACTCCAATACTGTAACCCTGTTAAATAAGCTACTCACACTACTCCCTCCTTAGGTAGCTACATCAATCGCCATGTCACTCCGCAAATCTTTTGAGGGTGACCTCCTGCCTGCTTCCACCGAGCATCCCTACGTTGGCAACGCTTTCGGCTGGGCCAACGTACTTGTTACCGCGGGCGATGTAACTTCCAAGCCGCTCAGCTGGCTCGCGAAGCAGGTCCGGTGCGCTATCAACGAGCAGGGCACGCGTGCTCAACATGAGGCATATTACGCCATGGTTCGCACATCCGGAACCGGTCTACCTATTATCGTATTTGGGGATGGTGGCATGGCGCAGGTCGGCTTCTCCAATTGGTCGAAAGCTGGCTTGTTCAACTTAGATTTTTCCCCGGCTCGTCAGGGCCCTAAAGACGACAGCATGCCGTGCAGGCCTTCATATGTTCAGGAGAATCACGGCCCTGTGAAGCCTGCGGACGGGTTTTTTATCCTCGGAAAGGATGAGAAAGGGAACTACTGGACTTCTGCATGTAGGGTGAAGGGTCAGTGGGCAAAGTTTGAGGAGCAGCTGAAAGATTTAACATAGTTACCTGGTTCAACATGAGTTAGGTGCATCTGGTGACTTCCAGATATATTGATGAAGCAAACATATATATACATCTCTCTTTTCGTTTTAACCTTCGAATCTTCACGATCCTCGATAGTTAACTAGGTAATTTCTAGTTTGTCATTGTTACCATGACCACCAGTCCCTCTCTTCTTTATCCCCGCCCTCACACGATCCCCATCCCTTTTCTCCCTACAACATTTCAACCCTAAAGCCAACTGCCTTCGCAATGGTGACTCTGTGCAGCTCTGCAGTGGCCAAGGGATTGACCAGATTTATCTGCCCTGTTTACCCAGAGCCAGAATACCAAGTACACGCGCAGCCCAACCTCATCCACCTACGTCAATGCTAATGACTCCAATATTGAAAGCTTCTTATGCCACCAAGGCCTCCCAAGCAGATATGGTGTCCAGTCAAGACTGCCATTACAGATCGTGCGAAGGCACCCAAAGGCTTGAATCTCAATGAGCCTGATTTGATTAATGAGTAAGCTATAACTAGTTAATACGGGAAATATAACTTTTAACTGATGGTATATAGTGATCTATTGTCCCAAATCGCAAGATGCCGCGAGCGGATTAAGGAGAATTTCATGCCTCATGTCTATAAACATAAATTGGAAGAGCTCCTGATGGAGCAGAAGGGCCGCGAGTCAGCCATCATAACTCAAATCTAATATATTGACAATCGCTAATCTTTTTGATCCCATTTAGTACAAGAATGGCTGCAGTGAAGGGACTCAATTGGCCTGTTGTGTAAAGCCTAGAACATCTCGAATCTATCCTGAAATGGGCTCAGAGCAATGCCGACAAATACAAGATCACCCACAACGTTGAACATGCTATACTAGCCTACCGATCTGGTGTCTTGAACTGGTGTCATAGCTTTGTCACCTATTGGCACAATGGAACCCAGCTCTGCGCGCCAAGGCCCGGACCTAGCAGTCAACAGGCTGTGATCGAATGCGGAACGGGGTCCAGAAAGTGGGCAGCCGAGGTATGCCGATGCACCCTCTAATAACAAATGCAGGTTCTAACATTTTCTTAGATATCAATTGCTCTTCGGATCCCTATCATAGGTGATGAGCCACCACCTGGGCCCTTTGAATTCCAGTTCAAGGATGATACCGGGGCCGATTATATGGTTCTTTATGACAACGACGTGGAACTACTAAGGGTCAATCTACAAGCCAAGGGCACTGTTTACTCTATACCTCCACTATTGGGTGTGCTAGTGGTAACATTGGGCGATGGGAGCAAGAAAGCCATGTTGGTAAGGGAATTAGAAGTCAACATGTGGGATGAGCAACAGAAGCAATATATGGCAGCCAGTTGGGACTCGATACCGGTTGTCGTTCTTCCTGGGCGTGGAACAAAACGCCTGAATGGTCCTTGGATGCGTTGGAAGTTCTACACAGGAACAGCCCCGGATAACTCGAACCGTTTGTGGATATATGACTACAATCCCACCAATCCTCTTATGCGTGGCCCGAGGCTTCCTACCGAAACCCAGGCACAAATGGATAGGGCATTGCCGACTGCGCATAAATACGAGAGCATTGGGAATCATCCTCAATTTAACCCGGATATTCCGTCGGGAAAATCGATAATATAACCAGTTGAGCAAGGTAGGGTGTTGGTAGTATTGGGCCAACATTGATGTTTGTTACTCTATGAGTATTGAATATGGATATTTCCCTCTCTTTTCTTTCGAATTGAGCTACTATGTGGGAGATCAAGTATTCACTGTGATTTTTCTCTTCTGTTTTTCTGATAGCTTTTCAGTTGATCCCTTTTATGTTCCTCATACCTGACAAAAAAAGCCCGTCTCAGATCCGATTTGAGCCCGCCTTCTTTCATGAGAAAGTCAAGTTTAGCATATTGATAGAGAAATGCAAAGGCTGTTTACTTTTTAGCGGCCTACAGCATAATAGCCCATGCTTGAACTTGGTATCAAATTAATAAAATTTGGATTGATACATTGGTGTCTGATGGAAAATATACAGCATATTTTACCACTAGACCATAACAAAAACCAAGGTTCCTGTTTAAGGCCTAGGGGCCTAATTTCTAGTTCGACAATGTGAACTATGAGACACTTGAATCTAGACCCCATTATGTATATGCATCTCACTCTCCCTACAACTGCTTCCAGGTATTGCCGTCATACATCAAGACATCGATTTCCTCCTGAGATAGGTGAGTGGTTGACTGGTCTTCAACCTGGCGGAGAGCTTCCACGGACATCTGGCGCAGGGTTTCCATCCTCATTCTATCATTCGAGGGCCATTCATACTGCAACGCCCTCTGACCACCTAAGCCGTCGCCGAGCGCCTCACCGTGATCTGTGCAGGTCTGGGAGAAACTGAAACTGCGCGGATTTCTTTGTGTGGAAGTTCGCTCATTGCCAAGGGCACCGCTCCGGTTTTTCATTGCGATTGAAAGGCTCCCAAAATCAGCCAAATTAGCAGGGATTCCTCTGTCAGCGCACCAATCTGAATTATCCTCCGAATCCAGAGACCCTTGTTCTAGGTTTAGCGGTAAGGGCAAGTGCGGGTCGCAAAATGAGTGCACTCTTGAGAAGCTTTTGTGGGGTTTCAACAGGTACGCCTCGCTCTCTGAATCAAACAATTCTTCACCACGTAGCTCCCTCATGAACTGTTTGCATCCTTGGATGTATTCTGTCATACCAGGATCGTCTTGTCGGTCATTATGCTGATTGCCATCACTATGATCCTCATATTCACTGTCGTAATCGTAGTCTTCGTTTTGCAGTTCCTGGATGTCCTCGGACTCGTGGATAGTTCCTTCTTGCTCACACCAGAGGCACAACTTTCCATTGCTAGTGACCACCGGCTCGGTAGATCTGTGGGGTCTATTGGGGATATCAATGTGAAGGTCGTTCTGCGGACCGATGCTCTGGTCGATGCTCTGATCGGCGCTTTGGTTCGCTCTGTATCTTCCGTCGAAGGCTTGGTCCTGGCTCGGGGACAACAATGGTATTGGATTGAAAGTCTCCACAGTAGACAATGATTGGGAAAGCATTGGCACAGCGGGTCCATGCTAGGAGAATAAATCGTTAGCTTGCACGCAGATTGGACGTGTTCGAGATCACTAACGGATGCAATATTCTGTTCGGCATCGGACACCAAAGGACCACAGCGCGATGGGTGAGTATCGTCCTCCATCTTCTCATGTAGTTCGAACCGCAAAGTTTTGGCTGCAGATTTGATCTTTGTAATAATCTCCCTCCACTCGCCACTGGTCTCAAATGCGGTGTTGATATGCACACGGAGCCAGACTGGATCCCGTTTGTTTCTCATCCAAACCCATTGGGTGTTAAGGGTGGCAAATGGAACAAAGCCTTGAATGCCACGCTGTTTCAGATGGCTCCGAAACATGTAGGAAAATATTTCTTCGGTTTGTTTCTTGTTGCAAGTAAAGAATCGATATAAACAGCAGAGTACCTGTCGCTTGTATGGGTCCCATCGCATCGTGGGTCTCTTTGGGAACTTGGTTGGCTCCATCTTGGACGGGGAGCATAGGATATAGCAAGGAATGAAAGGTGGCAGTGGAGGAAGAGTAACAAGAAGCAGAAGAACGGCCTTTCTCGCCTGTTAGCTCGGGAGGTTCAAGGGCAAACACTTTGAGTTTTACCTGATCTAGTCTACTTTTACATAAATATGTTCTATATTTGGCGTGCTTTAAACTGTAATGTTACGCTGATAGCTCAGGGGAAGGAATATGATAGCGGGATATGCGGTCACGTGGGCGGTACGCCTACCCGAGAGTGCGAAGGTGTATAGCGGCCAGTGGCCGAATGCCTGATTTTGTGGGATTGATGCCTTAATTTGTCTAATTTGTGCCTGATTTTAGACTGGCAGAAATTAAAATACCTGAATTACCATTATAGAGAGTGTGTAAAATGAAGCTATTCCTACTATATAAATCTCAATATTTGTCTAAGTCTGGGTAGTTTGAAGATGTTCTGACCCTAAGAATCTGAAGCTATTCATACTATATAAATCTCTATCTCCCTCTAATTCGAGTATTAATACTCTTCCTCTAACTATATTCTCTATCTTCCTCTGGTTCCTAGTGTTTATACTCTCTGTATCCTCCTCCGCTGGCTCTGGTATAGCGAAGTATCCTAAGACTAAGCCTACACTCGCTTCTACGCCCTTCCTACTAGTTTAACTGCTGTAGGAAGAGGCGATTTAACTAATATAGGAGGAGTAGGATATCTAGTAATAATTCGGTAGTCCGGCCATATATCAATTATACCTTTATATCGTGTAATAACTATATAAAGCCTTAGGATTTACTTAGGTACTAAAGGCGTTACATTTATTTTATTAAAGGGCTCTGCCATAGTAATTCATAGAAGTACTATATGGCTGAAATTATTCGAAGGTTGTGCTTTTTACAGTGGTAAGACCATAACAAATGGTATATATACTGAAAATAGAGTGCTAAGAGTTACTCTGCCTAATTAGGTTAGAGAGCTGCGGAGTTATTCAATTGTGTTTACAAAACACAGTATAGGCGGTGTCGAAGGCGGTCTAGAATCAAGCATAAACCAGGCACCATTCAGGCATCAACACCGCAAAATCAGGCATTCGGCCACTGGCCGCTATACACCTTCGCAGTCCCATGTCGCCAATTATCTATGATCACCGATATTTACGCGAGAATTACGAAATGGTCGCTGTCCTCTCTCTTGTGTGTAAACGCTTCTTCGCATTACTTTGCCATACTTGTACGCTGACTTGGTGATAACTAAACACCACAAACACTTAGCGACAGTTGAAGCAGGTTTTCAAGCATCTCTGTCGCACCTCTAGATAGAATCCGCCGACACGAGCTATGACACATGAAACATCGATAATCTCTATATTACAACAGATTGTATCGTCTGGCTCGCCTGAGATGAGTTCAGGATCTTAGAGGCAACAGCTTCATCCAACTTCCAACTCCGCTCCTTCGATGCTTTTTGGAAATATACCACATCATCGAGTTCGTTCGCCCCGAGGATAACCTCTATTCAAGTCAGAAATCGAAGGATTCATCATTGTGGACATGATCCAATAGCGTTACTTTCTCATAGTCTTTGCTCATAAAAGAAAAAGATTGAAAGTTAGCCTCTTTTTAGGGCAGTCGGTTATCCAGGCTTCCCACTTATTTTTGTTCACTGTTCAAAGTGTCAAATGACTCCCAGTGTAGATAAATCTTGGGACAAATCCTCGTTATGAATATGAGATATGTATATCGTTGTCGATTGTAAGAGTGCACGGCAACTGCGGGTGTAATCCCTGGAGATGACCAACTACGAGGGCTTTTAGGGACCATCACGACAATGGGTTTTTTGCCTGGCAGAAAATTAGGTAATAAAATAATACCGCCTAACCAACTTGCCAGACGCCAACACACGGTATATATTTTTGACACGAGTAGGTGCCAAGGCTTATCCTGAGTATAAGTAATATTAATACCTGATAATGCCCGAAGAGGTGAATCTATCTAGAGACTCCTGATCTGTGAATATAAAGTAATTTAAATTAAGGGAATTGTTGCTCGCACCGGATGCTCATAACCCTGGCCTAAATGCCGCCTTCCTGATCGGGTACTACTCAGAATTCTGCCATATTTCTGAAAATTCAGGCTAGGCGTGTGAGCATCTAGTACGAGCAACAATTCTCTTGATTTGAATTACTTCATACTTCGGAGTACAGTATAATAATTGATGGTTCTATGTTATACTCCGTACTCCGTATACTAGTTGTTAAAATTAAAAGGGAGCTCCCCATAAAAAAGGCGGTGGTAAAAGCGGTAACCCGATTAGGCCGGTTGTCGTGATGGTCCCTAAAAGCCCTCGTAACCAACCCTTTCTCCTCAGCTCTGTGAGAGCGAGGATGTAACGGGAAAGGAATGTAGAGATTTCGATTTTATATGAGGTGAGCCCAGCGTAGAGACCTTACCAGCAGTTTGCATTAAAATTGAGGCATAATGTTACACCAGTAGCTCAGGGGAAGGATGGTATGTTGTATGATGCTAGCTACGGCAGCCGATTATAGGGGCTGCCCACGATGTATTCTATAGAAGATTGATCGGACTTAGAGAGGGTTACTACACCTCAACTTTCTTGTCGAGTTAGAATGTGATCCATTTAACAGGATCCTTCAACTCATATATCGCTGAACTAAATAACTTATAACAAGATAAGCATGATGCTGAAGACTGTTAGCTTCTTTATGAACCCCTTGATGTATCGAAACATTCAAGTACTAGTCAAAACAGATCGCTCCAATGTGCCGCATAGTCACATCCATCTATCACTCATCTAAAGCTTCGCCTTGCCGACCCCATTTGCCTTCCCCTTCTCCTCAAAATATTCCCTAACCCTCTCTCTTGCAACAGAAACAACTTCCGCATCCTCAACGGTAGGCGGCACATTAATCTCCGCCGCATACTCCCCCTTCACCCCAAACTCAACAAGCTCTCTAAGAACACGTCTAAGCGTCTTCCCACTTCGCGTCTTAGGGATCATCCCCCGACCCTGTATAATTCCACCCAACGACGCAATAGCCCCGATCTGCTCGCGGACCAGCGCGTTAA